AAAAAAAAAAAAAAAGGACCTGACTGACCGTGCAGACCGATTAAACCAGTCAAGAGCAACCAGTCTTGCCAGTCCAATTTTAGTTTTTATTTTGAAAAATTAATATTAATATATTGAATATATTCTTTTTAACATCTACATATTTAATTGATGATGTTTTTATCTAAAATTTATTATTTAAAGTAAAATAAGCGAACCATTGTTTTGCATATATAACTTAATTGGTCTTGTTCAGAAAATATTGTTCTCCAAATATCAATGTTGCTTGGGCTTACAATCTGAAATTAAAAGACCAGTTTGTAGTCATTTCAGTATTTCCACAAACTTCAGTTTCACATTTCCATTTAACTATATTTAATAACTCATCCGAGTAAGGACATAACAATACAGGTCTAAGTTTATGATATTAGTCTTGTAATTATCTTTTAAAAAATCTGAATTAAATTGCTTGACAATGATCTTCGATTAGATGACGTATTGGGTGGGTAGAATTTGGTTGCAGTTTCCGAGTTCACTTCCCTCCCTTAGAATAGCTATCTCTCAGTGTAACCGTGCGGTTGAACACAAGCTTTCCGGGTGTCGAGTCCTTATCAACCACAAAGTAGCCTGTCAAACACAAACAAATACAACTTCAAACCCAACATACCCGATTTTGAAGTACCGAGTAAACCAACTTCATCACATCACATCACGTCACGCTCTTCAGTCAGTAGGTTATAACAAAGTTAAATAAATGATCCAATTGTTTGACAGTATTTTGTTATTTACACAGATATATTATATTTTGTTTATATAGTTATATTTAATAAATATATATATATATATATATATATATGCTTAAACGATGGGTGACGGGGGTTATTCTTGTAATTATGTCAAGATAATGTTGAGGAATTAACCTAATCTTTCAAACTGAAAGTTGTCTCCAACAGAAGCATCCTTGAGAGAAGGAACAGCATAGGCATCCGATATAACAACTTTAGAGTTTCGGTTCAAATCATCAAGCCACTTGTCTTCCAGTTCTGCAGGATTCTGCGTACAAAATATCATAATCCCAGATTAAGTTCATAATGAAGATCCAAAGTCGATGAAAACACAAGCCCAGACTTAAAAATATATGGATATTTTTAGTAAATATATGAGAACCTCAAACAAGAGAGAGAGAGAGAGAGAGAGAGAGAGAGAGAGAGAGAGAGATCCCAACCTCGGAATTGAATAATTTGTCAAACAATCTGACTTCCGCCTTAAGTGGTTGAACCCCGGGTGAAGACTCTGAAACCCAGTGAAGAACCCCCTGGATATATGACCATAATACATGAGAAAATATTCTCAGATTGCCAACATTTATGAGGTAGTTCAACACCCTAGCTTTATTATGGAAAAAGTAGTCATCTCTCGAAAATGCAACAACTTCCCCTACCCACCCACCACTCAAATTGTGTCATTTGCAAACAAGAAAAGTAGAGAACATGGGAATTTCCAATTTTGAAAGGCATGCTTGTTCGTCATAACTAGGCTAAATCTTCAGGGTGTTTTGCAATTAACTGCACTGAATCAGATTACCTTTGGTTTGGTCGTCTTTGATGGATCATACTCTGCATGAATCTCGACAACAGTCTCGTTATTATCACCTAAAATAACTTCCGTGCACTTGATGGGAAATGCATACCTGCATCAAGGGAAAGGTGTGGATTCAGTATGACATGAAAATTCCAGCACGACATATGAAATTTTACGTGATTGTGAAGAATAATAAGCCACCTGAGGAGGACAGATTTCCCGGGAGCAAGTCCGTAGTAATCTTTAGAATCTTTCAATCGAAAATCAGATTTTTCGATGTAAACAACCTTAGAGAAGGGAACCTAATAAGAGCAAGGAAGAATGTTACACACCTAACAACAGTATCAAATGTGCACAGAGTTGCATCAACCACACAGATATTTTGAGAACATAACAGCCAGGTAATGAACATTTGATTCATATTTTATTAAACAATCCTTTTAGACAGAGAAGTTGCAAACAGTAATGAACAACAGGAACTCCCTTAAAATTTTACATGGTTGCCCAAAACATTAGTTAATAATAAATAAATAAAGAGGGTAGCTGTAGATTGTACTACTGAAAGGTAATTGAAGTTTTTTGGTAATCAGGCAATACCCATAGGGGTAATTTTTATAATTATGTTGATAATATCACAAAATCCAAAAAGAAAAAAGAAAAGGACCCAGAACTGCTAAAACGGGCTGCGCTGAGGGCTGCAGGCTCGTCTGTTAGAAATATGTCCAACTTGACCCACCGGAAGCCAATTTTTTATTTACTTGCTATTTTTTAGAATTTTGTCTTAAATGCTAAAGTCTCAATTCGGGATGACTAGTATCCAAGTTGTCGGTGTTCTCATTGCAGATCCACATAAGATTTCACACACTGGGCTTCTAAGAACTAATGGAGAAGAGATCGTCGGGCCAACTCCAGGTTGTTCAGAGGTGAGAACTAAGCCCATTGTTATTGACTTTGTTTTCCTTTTTTTTCTGGTGCTCAGGTGGAAAAAAGAAAAAAGAAAAATGTCAGGTATTTTATTTGGGTGCTCATTTTTTTTTTCGTTTTTTTTTCCTGCTGGTAGTATATGTTTTCTTATTTTTCTGCTAATCACGAAAGATGTGAAAATTTGTTTGTCAACGCCAAGGAACAATGAAGGGGAACCAAAACAAAAAAAAAACAAAGAAAAAGAGGCTTGGCCCACAGGCTTATGGGCGGGCCATTTATGGCAGCACCGAACCGGGCTGGTTCGTTAACCGTGCTAGCCAAGATGGAGATTTGAAAGTTACAACGCAAGCATACCTTATAAAATGAAGACATATCATCAGCTGGAGCATCAGGCCATTTCTTTGCATCAAGGTCCATTACAGATGCCTCCATGTTTGTAATTACAACCTGAACCACAAAACAAGTGGGTGGAACATAACAATGCAACATACCCAGGGGGAAAAAAAGAGTGAGTGGAATTAATATAAATTCTGTCCGTAAAAATGTAAATTTCAGAAGATGCATACCTTTATTGGATCTAGCACAACCATTGTGCGAGGTGCAGTTTTGTTCAGTTCCTCCCTGATATGGTACTCCAGGCGATTTAGACGTATCAGGCTGGAGTCACTGTGCCAGAGGAAATTAACAATCTTAAGAGAAAGTGGAGAGGCAAAATTGTGAAGAAAAATCAGTGTTAATAATGGCGGATGGTGGTAAATGGCGGCAAGCTCTATGGCGCCGCCATAACCACCATCCTTCACAAATTTAGATCTAACTGGCTGCAATTTGATAACACTGAGAACAATAATATTGAATGCATCAGAAGACGTAAAAGAATATCTTTGCAAATAAAAAATAGATCTAGTTATCTATTGAAGTAGTGAAAGAGAAAACATCAGAGGATTTATCTTTGTAATTGTCAAAGATAATAGATTCAATTTTTGTGATGAGGCGACCATTGAGGTCACTATTGGTAAATTGTCCTAAAAAGAAAAGCCAACCTTCTAGTTATTCCAATTCCCCGGACGAAGGAATTTATGGCACTAGCAGTGACACCTCTACGTCTCAACCCAGCAAGAGTCATGAGTCGAGGATCATCCCAACCATCGACCCACTTTTCTGTTACGAGGCGGTTCAACTGCAAAATAACATGAGGGATAAAACCAATGTTGCAGTAAAATTAGGATGCACAAAATATTTCCAATGAAACTTAACACGCACCTTCCGCTTTGACATCACTGTGTTGCTGATGTTTAATCGTGAATATTCCCACACGTAAGGCTGGTAAAGGTCAAGTGCGTCCAACAACCAGTAGTATGATGCCCGTCGTGTCTCGAATTCAAGCGTGCACAGCTGCATGCAAAATGACAATTTATATCAAAACTCAAGAGACAAACCAGAAAAGACAAGAACAAAAGAAAGGGATTATGAGGAATAGAAAAAAAGAATTCTATGAAAAGCTGCCTTCTGATAATCATTGTTCCAAAATAACAAAAAACATGTTTCCAACTTCCAAGACTGCAGAAAAGCCCAAAATTTAGTTTTTCATATTTTTTCCTGTTCTCAGTTTTTAGGGTTTTCGAGGGGTGGGGGTTTATCAGGGTCAATGTTTCAGATCTTTATGGTTCTTTTAAGGTTTTCAGTTATTTTTTAGTTCTTAAGAATTATCTAATTCACGATATTATTTTGAAGTATTTTAAATTTTACTCTCTCGTGTATTGTGACACTCCTCAACTAACATACCGAATGAGTTATGTTTTCCAGAGAATCAACAATGCAATGAGTGAAATCGTAACTTGGATAGATACACCATTTGTCTCCAGCATGTGGATGAGGAGTGAACTGCAAAAGACAAATAAAATTTTACATCAGTCACTCTCACTCCTTCAAAATTTTATCAACCTAAGACTTATGTGTCTGAATGCTCACCTTGATACGATATGCTATTAAGTCATACATATTGAAGTTGTCGCTCTTCATGTCCTGCTTCATTCTCAAAGTGGCTTTTCCTTCCTCAATCAGTCCCTTTTTCATGTCATCGAATAATTTTAGAGATTCCTCGATCGGTCTGTCTCTCCAGGGACTGTTCATCTTCTTCTCCCTATATTCTTTAATCTCATCAGGTGTCTGCAGTAAATCAACAACAGCATGACAATCAGACTTAACATAAATTTCATTCCAATGAGGCAGGGAACCAGGCCATTGATTTTGTGCTTCGAAAAAATTTAATTAAAACTTGTTAGCTCACAAATGGATTAGTGAAAGAGGGATTTAGGAACATGCAAGGAAACGAAAAGCAGGACAACAGAATTAAATGAGTGCTTAGCAAGAACAACCTGGTGATCAACGTAAGCATGACCTCGGCGAATCAATTCCACTGCTAATTCATAGAGTTCTTGGAAATAATCACTAGAGTATGTAATCTGGTAAATGTAACACAAATTAAATAAGAATCAGACGGAAATACTAACCACAGGGGAAGAAAGTTTATACCTTAAATGGTTCCCAGCCCATCCATCCAACTATTTCTTCGATATGATCGATATATTCCTTCTTCTCAGCTTCTGGATTCGTATCATCATACCTATAAATAAATATATATCTCAGTAATTTTATAACAAAAACTTTTTATCTTTGCCAGTTGAATAAAAAGCATTGCCAAATGGAAAGCTAACAAAGCTGATTTTCAAGTTGCAAGAGAATATTTGGCAAAAATTATTTGAGCAACAAAAAAAAAAAGTCGACATGAATGTTCATCTCTTTCTTAATTGTGTTCATTGTTAAAATTCTTTATACACACCAACCGTGTTACTGTTAGATAGAAAGGAGAGGACGAGAGATAAAGAGTAATAACAATGTAAAGTATTATTCAATCCAATCTTAGAAACATATATAAAAAAGAGAAAAATGTTATGTTCAGGGAACATAAAAGGCAAACAAAAAGGTAGCATAGGTAATGCCTCACCTTAGGTAGCAGCATCCACCTCGCTCTTTTGCTAGGCCAAAGTCCACAAACATAGCCTACAAATTCAATTTACAAGATACTAAGCAAGAAAAGTCAAAACAGAGTACATCATAACATATTAGTCTGGGACAAAAATTACCTTGGCGTGACCTATATGAAGATATCCATTAGGTTCAGGCGGAAAGCGCGTGTAAACCTTCCCACCAGTGATCTTCAAATGTTTCTCAAGTATTTCCTTAGTATTGCAAGCCCTGAGCACTGGACGGTCGCTGAAAAAGATTTCGGTATGCACCTAGAAATCACCAAGGACGACAGTAAGTAATTAACAGCTGGAAAGAATTCTATGCAAAGCTATTAACACGCAAGATAATATATCAGCAAATGAACTATTCAATCCTTCTCATATTACGATCACAAACCACAATCAATCATCCTTGTATAAAAGTACATCAAATCAGCCACTGACCCAAATCATGAAATTTTTCATTTACAAATTACATTACTTACTCATTCTCATATTTTACTCACAAATAGTTTAAAATGCTTCACTCATGAATTTGTCACATCAGTTTATACACACGTATCACGTAAATGTCATTTCCATTCTCTCAAACCCAAAAAAAAAAAAAAAA